ACTGATGTTCTCCTCCAGTAGGAGTATGTAGAGCGAGAGATCGTCACATTGGCCACCGGGTTTGGGCAGGACGCTCACAGTGGGCAGTGATTGGTAGGTTTCAAGGAAGTGGGCGTGGTCATAGCAGTAGAGGGGACGCAGACTGGCGTAGATCACAACTGGAATCAACGTGGCGAAGACGATCAAGTTTACGAAGCTGAGAAGAGTAATCGGAGAAATGGAGGCCTTAAGTATCCCAAAAGACCAACCTACTGGCATAATGGCAACAAAAAAACTCTTTTTATCCAATGAAATGTGTCAAAAATGTGTCTTTTGGAGACTGACTCACTTTTTGGAGCCAGCCTCTAGTGGGCGTTAGAGGAACTGCAATTTATGCCACTTTTTTTTAACCCCCTGCCTGGTACCTGCAGTCTGCCATTCCCAGTTTAATGAATTTCAGTTTTTACTATTCTCGAAAGAGTTCAGATCTAATCATTGCACCACAGGTAAACTTGTTTGTAAAGCACAAATCAAAACTTATTCTGATTTTTGATGCATCAACTCTTCAATGCAAAGCTCAGGAAAATACCTCAGCAAGGAGAAGACTCCCACGGCGATGAGCTTACACTGCACCCTGTCGGGGACGCTGGTGTCCGACTCGAGCAGGCCGACACGCAGCTTGCAGCCGAAGTCGTCTGTAGTGGAGGCCAGGCGGAGGTAGTAGCCCAGGCAGACGCAGGCGCAGAGCAGGGTGAGCAGAGTCAGAACGCGGCACAGGAGGTAGTAAATGATCAGCTTTCGAGAGCAGCGCTTGGTCATCAAGAACTTCTCCACCATTGGGTAATTGAAGCAGCCCTCGGTGGGATCGCTGTGGGAAGAAAGAGTAGATTAAAGTGAGGTTGTGCTGGTTCTTTATGGATTTGCTGGTAAACACACACCAGTGGATGCAACAGTTATTCCACTGATTGTAAGCTTTTTGACATGTTCCCAAACAATGAAGTGCGTCCTTCCCACCCCGTTGGCTGTAAAGTGCTGTACCTGTCAGCGGACGGCTGCTCCGCTGTCGCCATCCGTTTGGCCAGAGTGACGGCGCGGTTATAACAGCGGTCCAGCTCCTCCATGATGAAGGCGAGGTCAGACTGCAGGAGCGGCGCAGCGCAAAATCTCCAGAACAACGCCGGGGCGTACATGAGCACGGCCACCAGCAGCAGGATGTAAGGAAAGAACTGGAGAGAGGACACAGGAGAGGAGGCAGCAGAGCTTTAAATAAGACATAAACAATCATATTAGCGGTGACGTTTCCACAAATACGACTGCTGATAAAAGAAAGGTGTGGACAGCTGACACACTGACACCGAGGCTGCTGTTATGCTGGTGTTTGCATTGATAAACTAATGCCTGATGAACCTGACAGAGATAACAGTTTCACTTTCATAGAGAAATGAGAGAGAGTGTGTGTTCAGTTCTCTGGTCTTACTGTGGAGTAGTATCTCACATCATAAACCATAAAGTTTACAAGTGCTTTAAGAAATTAAACAGATAGTGAATAAACTTAAATGAACATCTCTTTTCTCTGACTCTAGCAGAGACCCTCAGCCACCCGGCCCGATTACTGCAGTGGGATTTCCACCAAAGCCCTGAAAGATCTCCACTCTGTCCAAACTAGGGCTGCCACGGGTCATTGAAGAATATCAGATTTCTCTGCCAGA